AAAAAGAACTGACAGTTACACATCCATGGATCTGTTGCTGCTCAGTGTTATTTCTAAAAGTCTCAGAAAATCTACCAGAACTACTGTCTAAAATGTCTAATTAAAATCTTCCACAGGTGTTAAGTTGGTTTGAAATCGGGTGGATTAAGTAACTGTACTTATAGCTGTCCACATTTCATTTTGATTCAAAATCATATTTAGATGGCGACCTGCATGTAACATTTTTAGGGAAGAATAGCAAGTTGTCCTCGTCATCCTCAAGCTCTGCTTCTTTTATGGAAGCTGTGTCAGTAGGATTGAGGAGATCCTCAAACTATTCCTTCAATTGCCCAACTAAATTCTCAGTTGAAGCCAGCAGGACCATTTCCTCACTGTATAAAGCACCATGAGAGCATGGCTTTCCCCTCCTAAGTTGTATAATGGTTCAACAGAATTTTTTGGAGGCCAATCAAATGTTTTGCTCCATGGCCTCACCAAACTTTTCCCACAGCTGAGTTTTTGCTTTTGTCACTGCCAGAGTTTCAGTCCACTTTGCCTTTTGGTACTTGCCAGGTATCTCAGGAAATATACGATCTAACAAAGTCCTATGGGACGTCTTCTTTAATTCAACAGTTCCTTTCACATTTGGTGTCTGCTATCTACTTAGGACAGGGGTCTGCAACCTTTAACACCCAAAGAGCCATTTGGACCGGTTTCCACGCAAAAGAAAACACTGGGAGCCGCAAATACTTTTTGACATCTAAAATGAAGATAACACTGTATATATTGTTTTTTACCTTTATGCTTTGTGTGAACAACTAAGGTGTGTTGCTTATGAAATCCATTTAGTGCTACAGAGAAAATTAGGTTTTATTTATGTAATCAACACATTTTGAACTCTTAAAGAAATATAACAAAAGGAAAGACACCAACATGAACTAAAATGATCCAAAACAAAAACTGTTGTGAGCCGCCACCCTTATATCGCCTTTGGGCTTTTGGAGCCTTGACTTGACTTTTAAAAAATAATTGGAAAAAAGCACTATGCTGCTAAAAGATGAAAAATAGATATTTGCAAAATTCTGCCTAAATATGTATTTTACCTGGTTAATG